TTGTATGATGCCTTCCTCCAGCAGGCATAGTTCTGCCTCAGTGAGCGAGCTTTATTGAAAGTCTCTTCTCCAACCCTCACGGTTTGCATTCAGTGTCTATCACTTAAGTTTTTAATCTGTACAAATAAAAAAATCCATGTAGTTCAGTCTAAAACTATGCCCTGTACATGTTTACTTCCTTTTCTACACAGTATTTTAAATGCAATACCATTGGTTAAATTAATGATACTATTAATATAATACTGTATTCCCAATGGGGATTATTTATAATATTCCCCAATATAATGATAATGCTGTCTATAAAATGGACCAGGGACATATATAAACTGTAGATATCTGAATTAATTTTGAGCTTGCACTAAGTAAGAACAATTACCTCTTATGATGTGACCTTACTCGATACTTGTCCTCCTGAAGAGATCACTAAAGATATGGGTACTGTAGTGAAGTGTGGTGTAGATGGTGTCCAGCTACCAGAAAGAATAATATCTGGGATCTTAAAGGCTTTTGCTAAAACAAGCAGTCATCTAAGTGGTGTATCAGCTAAGCTGCACAGAAGAAGCACACTATCCATCTTGCTCAAAGAATTGTTAACAATAAAATCAATATCAGAGGAGGAGACTTTATCAAAGCTTAAATTTTTAGCACCCGGTTTGCAGAGAAAGCCCGCAATTCATTTACAGAGCCCTCACATGGACGAATTCTTCATGGAATTCCTTAGGTCCACTGACCAAGGATATGAATAGTTTTGCCCTCAAATAGAGTGCATCAAAATGTGGAGTACTGCAGATATACTAAGGGTAAAGGAGCTTGTTGGTACAGTGGTTGGTTGTGTGTTAGGCTGTGATCCACAAGTCAGAAGTTTAAAACACCAGCTGCTCCCTGGGAAAAAGACAAGGCTTTCTATTCTGCAGAGTTACAGTCTTGGAAACTCACAGGGGAAGTTCTACCCTGATCTATCGAATGGCTATGAGTTGGCATGGACTCCATGACAGTGGGTTTTTTGGTTTGTTTGTTTTTGAATCATTTTATTGGGACCCATACAACTCTTATCACAATCCATACATACATCCATTGTGTCAAGCATATTTGTACATTTGTTGCTATCATCATTCTCAAAACATTTTCTTTCTACTTAAGCCCTTGGTATCAGCTCCTCATTTTTCTCCTCCCTTCCCCACCCCCTCCCTCATGAACCCTTGATCATTTATAAATTATTATTATTTTGTCACATCTTATACTGTCCGATGTCTCCTTTCACCCACTTTTGAGTTAGGATAAAATTTAACATCTTACTATTTGGTTTTCTTTTTAACCCATTTTTCTACTTGTTATGGTTGTTATTACATTTCTGCCGCCTTGTAGACTGAGGTTCTGTGTTTTAGTCTGTTGTAGTTGCTGGTCTTTGTTTCTTATTTTTACTTGAGTGATTTTCTTTTCTATGAAACTCAGGCTAGGTAAATCTAGAGAGAGAGCAACTAGATTAGTAGTTTCTTAGGGTTATGACAGGCAAGGTTGGGAGGAGATGAGAGCTAATAATAATGGATACAAGAATAAAGAAAAAAATTCTAACATTGATTAAAGTGATAAATGCACAAATACTTAAATGTTGAATTGTATGATATGTCAATAAAACTGTTCAAAATTTTATTCAATAAATTAATACTGGAACTTACTGTGTGCACCAAATAAAAGGTAAAATAAGAATACAAAGTAAGAAGCTTGGTTAAAAGTAGTTACAATTTTGTTTTCCCAGTACTTATTTTCCCCATACATATACTATACATTCACATAGGTTGCCCCTTGCCTGCTCCCCCACTGGAATTGTAACTAGTAAGAAGACCTCCCACCAAATCCACTGACAGTGAAGTGGCATCCCTTCACGTATCTCAATGAAAGATGCCAGCATTTCCACGTTCTTCAGAATCTGGTGGGGAGAATCTGATGAGGATTCTTTAGCTAGCGGTGACTGTGAAAAGACATTTTCCATCCTCTTCTTATCTCCCTGTCTTTCAGGATGCTCAGGGGGAAAGAGCGCTATGCTTATCTTTCTGTTTAAATATCACCCAGTGTTTCCTGTGAGTCATCAACTGGAGGAGTAATGCGATTCCATCTTATGGCTGAGTAAACACTGAGATCTGATTTCAGGCAAGGGACAAATTTCAACGTGCAAATATAAATCACATAGTTGATCTTTTTTCTCCCTCTCCTGAACAATCCTGCCAGGCATCCAACAAGAGGGTGAAAATCACACGTCTTACTGAGCACGTGATTTCTCATCACCTTTTCTTGTTAAAAGTGTGATATTTCTTTGTTCTGAATATTGTTTTTATTCCTATCCCAATTTGGAGAATCATGATTATTAAAAAATGTAAGTTGACTGATTTTTTACTGTTGTTTGGATAATGAGTGGGAGCTTTTCCAGACAAATGAGTCAAGGTGTATTCTAAGGAAATTTTAATATAGGAATAATTAGAGTAAGATATATATTCTTATCCTATTATATGTGAGAAGTGGCTATAAACAAAAACAAATTCACAGCCATTGAGTCAATGCTGACTGTAGGTTTCCTAGATTGTAACTGTTTACAGGAGAAGAAAGCCTCATCTTTCTCCCGTGGAGCTACTGGTGGTTTCAAACTGCTGACCATGGGGATCGCAGCCTAACTTGCAAACACTGCACCACCAGGGCTCCTATAGGGAATGGCTTAAAGGTAGGCAAATAAAAGTAGGGTACAAGGGCAGGTAAACCAAAAATGCAAAGCCACTAACTACCATTGATGGAGTCAATTCTGACTTTCAGGAAGCTTCTAGGATAGAGAACTATTCCTTTGTATTTCTGAGACGATACATCTTTATAGGAGCAGAAAGCGTCACCTTTCTCTCTTTGAGTGGCTGGTGGGTTCCAACTGCTAACTCTGTGGTGAACAGCCCAACATGTAACACAATGGTTACAATGCTGCTGTGTTTTCTAATCCCATAAAGGTTTATTGCATTACCTCATCACTTTCACTCCTGAAGAGGAGGCTATAACTCACAATCTAGCTGCAAGTGGAGGGAAAAACGTGAGAAAAGAAAAACATCTATCTGTAATTTTGGTCATAAGATAAACTTGGGACCTGTAATGTGAAAAGAAGCAAAGTGTGAGACAAATGTGATGGCATATAGGAATGGAAATATGTGAGAGTCTGAGCTAGAGCAAATTTCTTACTCCACAGCCTGCCTTTTTCATGATCATGTGGATTCAGTTGGGCCATTAACACAATTTACGACCAAGGATAAGCTGCTTGAGCTCTCTCTGAACTTAAATCTCCTTGTTTCAGAAATAAGGATTTGGAGGCCTGGGGGCTTTAGGCTTCCATAAATAAAGTAAAACAGGATAAATGCTTTCCTTAGATAACAAGGAGACTCAACCCAGTAATAATCATTTTACGTCTAGGGATAAAAAAGAGACACACTTCCAGAGGGCATATTGATAGTCTAGGTAAGTGACATACATGAAGTGTATTTTGCTTCTTCCCTACATGTCTTCTTCCCACCAGCTCATGACCTACTGTTCCGTGTAAGTAAGACACGGTGCACTCCATCATTTGGAGCCGCTTTGAACTGGACATTTGCTTTCCATTGTTGGTCCAGTCCTTCTCTGGACATTTGCTTCTGTGGAGTCTTCACACAACCCAGCCCAATGAAGGAGACTGTCTACAATAATGACCATGAGAGTGAAAAGTGCAGTGGAAGAGAGTGCAGCAGATGCTGTTGGTACCAGCACACTGGCGGGACTTCCAGCAGCCAGCATCTGTACCAAGGCTTTCTCTTGTCATTGTCAAGCCTAACAAAGGCAGATCCATTGCTCCTTACTTAATGGCAGAAGCAATGACTGATAGCAGTTGATATATAAATGTTCCTGACCTCCTACCTTTTTACATGGACACATAGTCTACACTGACTTTTTGGGTATCTTCAGTAGGATGAGGTTCCACTCACCTGTGAATGTACCTGGCTTAATAACATCCTGTGTTGGTTGCGTTTCTTCCTTGTCTCATCTTCCCAAACTCCTCTAATGATGGCCTTCTCTCAAACTATTTGCCCTTGAATCCTTATCTCTGTTCTGGGGGACCCCAAATAAAATGGCAGGCAATCAGAAATTTAGCTTATTCTGCATTAATTTTATTTAAAATGAAGTCTTAAAAATGCCACGTGATAGATGCTTACGAGCACACTACTTCAAAACGTGCAACTTAAAGTACCAAATAAAGATTTTTAGACTTGATTCTTTTCCTAACTAAGCCAAAATCCACTGGAATCAAGTCAAGGCAGACTCACAGCAACCCTATATAAACACTTTCAATGTCTTCCTTTTCAACAGTAACTTAAAATTTTTTAAACAGTTGAAAAATCTTTAATATAGTTAAGGTACTTAACTTACTTGTAAAGCTATATACAATTTGAGATTATTTAGACATGCAAATACTGTATTCATTCTTAAGTATGTCAATCTTTTTCAGCGGTTCTCAACCTGTGGGTCATGGCCCCTTTGGGGGTGGAATGATCCTTTCACAGGGGTCACCTAATACATCCTGCACGTCCGATATTTACATTACGATTCATAACAGTAGCAAACTTACAGTTATGAAATAGCAACAAAAATAATTTCATGGTTGGGGTCACCGCAACATGATCGTGGCATTAGGAAGGTTATTAAGAACCAAATTTACATCAAGTCTCAGTTATAGTTCCTTTAAGTCTCAATTTCTCTTATTAATGCTCAAACGATTTTAATAGTTAACCAAGTCCTTTTTCTGAATTTTACATTTTATTTTCAAACAAACTCGTAAGATTCTGTGAGCATAATAACAAAGTTACCTTAAATTCACTGTGGCATATCAATATATAACAAAAATGAAAGGTTCTGTTATTAAGACATTTGCCCTGAAATCAGATTCCCTGGTTTCTTCTGATACTTTTAAGCTGCGTAGCCTCGGACAAATTAATTAACCGTCTATGTCTTCGTTTTTGAATATTGAGTTCCGAGTGGTGCTGCTAATCCCGGGTCAGCAGCTGGCGATCACCAGGCGTGAGATCACTGTCAGCTGGAATTTGCTCCCTGACAGTGAGTTCAAGTTTGTCTTAGTTCCCTTATCTGTGAAATCAGGATAACAAATATTCCTCATTGGCAGGATTCCTTCGTGGGTCAATGAAAAGATAACAACATAGCACGTAGACGTGCCTCAACTGTAGTAAACTCTCAGTAAATGATGCCATTATTTTCATGATTATTAATCCCTAGTTTGGGTATGAAGGATGCCAGTCTCCAGTTCTCTTCAAGAATATTTTAAAAAACAAGTTTTATTAGCACTTCATCCACATGTCATATAATTCAATAATTCAATCATATCAAGTTCAAGAATATTTTTCTTGTTCAGGACTGGCTATTTCCTTAGAAAACGGGAACAACAAATATGATCAGGGTTCACTTATTAGAAGGTAGTTGTTTCTGTGTGTTAATTCAAACTTCTTAATCTTTTCGTTTTCCCCTCTCACTGGTGATCTCTTGGTGGTGTAGTGGGTTGTGATCCTCATAGTCAGCAGTTCGAAACCACCTCCGGAGGAAATCTCTGTGGGAAAAGACTGGGCTTTCTACTCCCTTAAACAGTTACAGTCTTGAAACCCCACCAGGGGTCACTATCAGTCAGGACTGACTCCATGGAAGTGAGTTAGGGTTTGTTTGTTTGCTTGTTTATTGAACCCACTTTAACCAAGAATGAGACAAGATTATTGAAGCACTATAAGACGTCTTCCTAGAGTTAAACATTTTCTTGATTCTCAACAACAGAAGGTTGCTGCTGAGGGAAGAGCAGAGTTAATTTAGTCACCTTCCCCCCACATCTTCTTGTCTTGAGCTCAGCAGTGACATGGCAACTATATAATCACCATGAGGCCTCGCCCCCTTCTCTCTCCCCACGCCCTCTCCTCCTCCTCACTGCTCTGCCATTGTTTTAGACTTTATTACTCATTACATAGCATGCTGCCTTTCAAGATCCTACCCTTTTGTGAGTCATCAATTGACTTAATCTGTGTGTCTGTGTCTGTGTGTGTTTTAACCTTTCTTTAGAGGGTAGATGGTAGTATTTGAAAGATCTTCTCAGCTTAATAAAGGACCACAATTAGAGTAGTCTAATTTGTCATGAACTTCATAAACTTTAGAGAGTTTGTCTATTTCCTCATGTTTCAAGATTTCCTCAAAGTCCAATAACAATTATGTTCGTACAGTCAATTTAGGTAAAATAGGTTGAACAGAATCTATGCCCTTATAAATAGCAAATGTTTAGAATTTTTACAATGTTCTAAAATATGTACTTTAAAAAAAATTAAATCACTTTATTGGGGGCTTGTACAATTCTTATCACAATTCACACATACATCCATTGTGTCGAGCGCTTTTGTACATTTGTTTCCCTCATCGTTCTCAAACATTTGCTTTCTACTTGAGCTCCTGGTATTCATTCCTCATTTTTCCCTCCCTCATATAATTTAATTTGCATATATTTAGTGAGTAGCCACTGCAGTCAAAATTATTCAGGGGTTTTTTTAATGAAGAAGACTAAGACACATCCCTAACTTTCATAAGCTTATAACATCTTCTGGGAGGTAACATACATAGTTACCAAAACAATGTCAGTTCATGGAGTCGTTTCCACCTCGTGGAGACCCGTGTTTGCCGGCATAGAACTGCGCTCCATAAGGTTGTAATGGCTGATGTTCAGAAGTAAATCACTAGCGCTTTCTTGCAAGGCACCTCTAGGAAGGCTCAAACCTTCAACTTTCTGGTTACTAGCCAATTACATCAACTATTTCTGCCAGCTGGGGGCTACAAATACATAATTCGAGATCAATTAACAACTAGGTAGGTACACGGTATATTACCTAAAATCTTTCCTACATTGAGGCTTTGGACTTAAACTATACTTAAAGGCTGGGGGGGTGGGGGGGCTTCCTTCCCTCAGTTTGTGGGTTGATGAATGAGGTCTCCATAAAAAAACCAACTCTAACCTTTCTTACCCTAGTGGTAACCTCCCAGAAAAAGTTAGTTCTTCGTCCCTTCCCATGTTCACATCCCCTGTCCTACAGAAAAGACAGATGTGGAACAGACATTCTGAAAAGACAGACATAACTGAATTCTGGAAGATCCTAGGGTAATTCTCCTGCATGGACCTGACATCCATAGCAGCCAACCAAATAACTGATGATTTTCCTCTCTGGCGGGAAATAAACAGAATCTTAGCCTGTTGGTTTTTTCTGTTGTAGTAAGAAGCTCTCGTGGCATAGTGGTTTACAAGTTGGGTTGCTCACTGCAAGGTTGTTAGTTTGAAACCACCAGCTGCTCTGTGGGAGAAAGATGAGGCTTTCTATTAGCATGAAGATGTACAGTATCAGAAACCTACAGGGGCAATACTGCTTTGTTCTATAGGTTCTGTGACAGTGAGTGAGTAAGTGAGTGAGTGAGTGAAGGCTTTCTAGGAATCTTCTTTAGGGTGCTGTCTGTTAGGCCTTGGGCTATGAACCGAAAGGTCTGTGGTTCCAACACACCAGCCATTCTGTCGAAGAAAAATGAGGCTGACTGAAAGATTTATAGTCTCAAAAACCCTATATAAGGTTGATATGGGTCAGAAGTGACTCAATGACAGCAGTTTGTTGGCTCTGATTCCAGGAAGATCGATTTCATAAATGGTAACAAAGGGAACTGCTTGCTACTCCACTGTCAGGAAATAGTGGAGCTCTATAAGGAGACACGGTGGCACAAGGATGAATGCTTGGCTGCTAGCCAAAAGGTTGTCAGCGTGAACTCACCAGCTGCTCCACTGGTGAAGATGCGGTCCATCAAGATGATGACCTTGGAAATCCTATGGGACACTTCTACTCTGGCCTATAGAGTTGCTATAGGATCAATACAATGGCAATAGGTTTCTACCATGGACCCACATCCAGTGAAGAAATGAAGTAATGCTGGTGGTGTAATGATCTGGGATTTTTGTCACCTGAGAGTAAGAAAGGCAGTCAGCATACCTCCTCCTATGAAGCATTCACCTGGTGTGCAAGTAACTCTATCCTCACTCCCCACAAAACAGAGGTCCACGTCTACTTGGGCACTTACCAAAAAAATCACACCAACAGAGAAACAAAGGTTTGTGTGGGTAATACAAGGAAGTAACCAAAATAATGTCTTTCAAAGGTGTGTATTTAATTCAAAGTACTCTCCATTGCACTTAATACATTTGTCAAATCTGCTATTCCATTCTTGGAAACATTTTTCAAACTCAACTGTTTGGATGGCTGACAGCACCTCCCTCATTTTTTTCCCTTCACCTCTTTTATGTCATCAAATTGCTGTCCTTTCATGTCCCTCTTCATTCACAGAAGAAAAAGAAGTCTCAGAGAGAAAAGTTAGGTGAGTAAGGTGTGTGGGGCAAGAGAGGTATGCTGGTTATTTGCCAAAATCTGGCACACTGAGATGGCTGTGTGAGCAAGTACATTGTCATGGTGGCAAAAGCAGTCCCTCATCTGCCACAAATAAGCCCTTTTTTGTCGCACATTTTTACACAATCTTTTCATAACCTCTAAATAGAAAGCTTGATCAACAGTCTGACCTGGTGGAATGAATTACAGGTCAACATTTCCATCCGTTAAGGAAGTTGACATAGGTCCAAAATAAGGTTTGTCATCAATCAGCATTTCACCGTTTTCGAAATGAGAAAACCACTGGGACACTTGAGTTTTTCCCATAGCGCTGTCCTTGTAAGCTGTGCTCAACATCTCAACAGTTTCCTGACCAGGAAACAAAATTTCACAGCTGCACACTGTTCTCTTAAATCAGCCCACAAAAAATGAGGTTCTTGTGAAACTGCTTTTATGAAAAAATTCACTGTGACCAGAGAGAACCTTCTCAGCAGAGCTTTTTCTGGGCACTCCCTCATATAACACCCATTTATTATTAAAAAACTCAATAAAACAGAGATATAAGGGAAATTCCTCAACACAATAGAGGCACTATATGAAAAAACTAATGGAAAACATCATGTTCGGTGGAGAAAAGTGAAAACATTTCCCCAGAGTATGTGCACGAGATAAGGACAACCCTATCCCCACTCTTATTCAGGATCATGCTGGACATCTTTGCCAGCACCATTAATTCACTGCCATCAAGTCTATGCTGACTCAGCGATCCTACAGAACAAGATAGAACTGCCCCTGCGATTCTGAGATTCTGAGACTAACTCTTTACAGGAATAGGAAGCCTCATCTTTCTCCTGGGACAGAACCATTAGACAATAACAACAACAAAATCAAAGGAATACAATTGGGCAAAGAATAAGTGAAACTTTCACTGTTTTCAGGTGATATGGTTTTATATGTAGAAAACCCAAAGGCTCCACAAAAAGATTTTTGGAAATAATTGAGGGATTTGGTCAAGTAGCAGGATACAAGATTGACAAGCAGAAATCTATTGGATTCATGTAGTCCAGTGAAAATACATTAAAAATACCATTTTAATAGCCACACTAAAGATGAAATACTTAGAAATAAACCTAACCAAAGAAACAGAAAAACAGAGAAAACTGCTACAAGAAACCAAAAGAGAGCTACTCAAATGGACGAGTATCTATGTTCCTGGACAAGAAGACTTAATATTGTGAAAATGTCAATATTCTCCAAAGTCATCTACAAACACAATGCAGTTGCTATCTAAATTCCGACTTCATTCTTTAAAGAAATGGAAAAATGAATTAATTACTCACTATATATGGAGAGGGAAGGGACCTAGGATAATCAAAGAACCCTTCAAGAAGAAAAATAAAGTAGGAGGCTTTGTTTTACCTGACCTCAAAAGCTATTACACAGCCACAGTAGTTAAAATAGCCTGGTTCTGGTACAATTGTAGATACATAGACTAATGAAACTGAATAGAAAACCTAGAACTAAATCTATCCTCCTACAAGCAGGATCTCGACAAAGGACCAAAAACCATTTCTTGGGAGAGAGACAGCCTCTTTAGCAAATGGTGATGGCAAAATTGAATCTTGATGTGGATAAGAATGAAATGGAATCTATCTC